CATCTTTTATGTTGGGAGATGGGCGTTGTCCTGCCTGAAAAATGTAGTTGTCGTGGCGTTTTCCTCCCTGAGAAGAGGACTTGTCACCGCGTTCCGATACTTCTTCCGTTAAGCGTTCGAGTCCTGACTTTGTTTCGTCTCCAGATCACGAAAATGACGCACAGCTAGTCCTCAAGCTACGATTCACGGTGGAGCCCCCAAATTTCTGTGGCTAGGGGAAGACATTTGTGAGCGGGCACTTTGTCCCCCTCCCACCCCCGTTTTACGACCTTTCCTGTCACTGTTGTTCGCCGAATCACCGTCGGGGTCAATACCGTTGTGAAGTGAATCGGGCTTTCCCTGTAGACTTTGCTCATTGGAGGGTCGCAAAATCAGGGAAATCTCCTGAGCCTGCCATAAATACGAGTCAGTGGCCGAGTGTCCAAATTTTGATCACGTCAACATGGGGCTGCTGCAACGGTCGCAAGGATGGATGGTCCGAAGTCACTTTCTTCAGCGCCGTTGTAATTTTGAAACAGTCCCTAAACCGTTGTAAATTGAGGACCCTCTGTCATTTTGATTTTCCTTTCTTTAATGGAGAAGTAAAGCACATTGCTGGGATGTGGGAATGATGTTTTCTGTTCTGGTGGTCGGTGCGTCACTCGGGGGTGTCAGCCGGGGGTCTTCGTCACCCTTTCCTGGAAGCCGGTGAGAGAAGCAGGTTCTCCTTTTTGAAGATATTCCTCCATCTTTTCTTCAGGAGGCGGGACCGTACCGCCGTTCACCAACTTTGTGGACTGGTGGAGGGCGGGAATGGGATAGTTCTGCGTGAGGGACCAGCACGTGCGCAACCAGTGTATGTAAGCGCCTGCCGCTCGCTGTAACCGAGGGTGTGCGCCTGGGCTCGCACGCTGTTTCCACCTCACAGCTGCACACCCTGCGTGGCTCACTCTTTGCGGTGGCTTTTCCTTCATAAACCACTTTGGAAATGATAAGATCAAATAAGATCCGGATAAGATAAGCTAAGATAAAAGAAGATACGAGGTGGATATGAGATACAGAAAGACGGCAAGGTACGAGGAGGATATGAGGTTGGATAAGGGGATGAGACAAGATATGAGGTGGATATGAGGCAGGGCTAGGGTCTCTAACCTTTCTGGGTTGGCGGTCCGGAGCAGGGAGAGGGGGGGGAAAAGGCGATTTTGTGGGAGGCGGCAAGCGCATGAGGCTCGTGTGAGTGCGCCCATGATCTCCCC